CCCCCCCCCCCCAGCAGTCCCAGAGAAGCTGGGAAGGACGCGAGGGGACTCTCGGGGGGCGACGGCCCCATAGCTTATTCACCAGCCACCATCAAGACGGAGGTGGCTGGGCAGCGAGAAATGGTGAGGGACAGAGGGGGGAGCGAAAGTAAAGAGCCTCGGCTGTCACCGGGACGGGCCCCCGGGCTGCAGACCCCGGCCGCGGGGAGCCGCAGAGTGGGGTGCGAGTCCCCGGATGCGCGGTCCCCCCCCCCGCCAGCATCCCTGAACGCTCGCCTCTCTCCCATGCCTTCCCACCTCGGGCTGGCTCGCCCGCCCCTTTGGCCTCGCTCCGCAGCATCCCCAAGATTCTGTCAGCCCCGAACGACCTCCGCAGCCGAAGCAGCCCTTACCGTGGCCGCCGGAGCCGCTCGCTGGCGGGCCGGGGGTGGGGGAAAAGAGCTGGAGACACCCGAGAAGCGGGTAACGCTGCCGCTGCCGCTGGGTGCCAGACTGACCACGACGAGGCTGCAGGATCCCGCGCCAGCCGCCCGAGGAGTGGAGTCGAGTTGCGTCGCCTCACCCCGCCCCCTTCTCCGAGGGCCACCCTCTCTCCCTCACTCACCCTCCCTCTGCTTCCCTCTGCCTCCCTCTCCCTCCTTCTCTCTCGCTCTCCCTTTACGGCTATTGCCTCCCAAACCCAGAGAGGGAGGGAAGGAGAGGAGGAGGAACTGTGGACACCGCGGCTGGGAGGAGCCGAAGTCGGGTTCACTTTAATTGGCACCTGCCTTCTACAATGGAGGAGAAGAAAAGCAGGGCTAGCTTTTCCCAAGCTCCCTTGGATTGGTTTTTCCTCTAGCCAATAGCAGCAGGGGGAGGCGGACCCACGCGGCTAAATAGGATTTAATTGATGCCTGTATTATCGAACCGGAGTAAAAAAGAAGGGTCCGTTGAGTCGAATTGACATTGCAATCAGCCAATCATCTCCGGAAAGGAGGCGTGGTAAAGATTTTGCTTGGCTTTCCCTCTACCTATTAGCGTAGTCAGAGAGCCGCTAAGCCTCCGCCCCGGATGTTGGGGAAGCTGAGACAGAAGATTGAGTGAAGCTGTAATTTTGCTGCTGCTCTAGGATCCGGAACTGAATGGTGCAGACCGCCTTTTTTCCCCCCTTAATGTGACGAATTCTGGATTTAATGGGGGAAAACGTGCGTGAAGTTCCCGGGGATATAACCTGACGAATCCCCTATCTTCATTTCCCCTCTTGCCTTACGGTTGGCTGCAGTACCCAGGTGAGTCCGGAGCTCGGACAGACGCGCCGAACGCCCCGGGAGCTTCCGCCCCTCCCCCTGCCTCAGTACGGAGGGAGAGAACGTTAGCTCCCCGCCCCCCCCATCGTTTTCGTCGTCCGCACCCTCCCCCCCCACCAGCCAGCCCCCCAGCTATCGTTTATCCCCAACGCTTAAAGAAGCTATAGTATAGGGATAAAGAAGCTGAAGTATAAGGGATACTGCGATATTGTAGCAAGTAAGCATTTATCAAATGTCCGGAACGTGCTAGACACAGCATAGAGCTGTGGGGAATCAGAACGGGTCCCTTTGAGTAGCTTTGCAGAAGAGGACGAATCCAGACTGATGCTTAAGATGCTCAAGGTACAAATAGGCCTCGGGCAGGTGACTTGTCGTCACAAGGCTTTTATGCAAAGGCCGAGTTACATTCAGTGGAGGTGATCCCGCGAAGATCTATTTAGAGTGAATTTTAATTGAGTTTGGAGGAATTTGGGGTTGGAACAGTTTAGGGGATCCCCTTTCCTTAGGGGTGAGGGGAGTCCAAGTGGAATAAGGCTATGAGGTTTCGGGCAAGGAAGAAAATGGGGTTAAAGGAAGAGGAAAGTAGACAACTTGGTGAAGAGTAAGGCAGATAAGTAGCATAAAAGTGTGGGGCAGGGGAGGAGAGAACTGACCTGTGAAGAAGTATAAATTAAGAATAAAATATATGCCTAGCATTTTCCAAAGATTTGTAACAACCATAGCAAAGGGGGATGTTTGTTTGCTCTCAGTTGTAGTTTGAATTATGACACTACCAGCACCACTCCTTCCCACAAATGGAACTGTGAGCTCTGAAATGAATAACTACTCTAGTTTTACATGCCATCTTTTATCACTTGATGTCCTGCATTATCTGAGGTCTTCCAGCACAGTAAGTGAATCTTTTGCAAAATGGGCTCTTCTGTGAACATGCAAGTGCATAGGGTACACTATTCTATAAAATGTTTCTAGTTCATTTAAAGCAGGGACCCCATAATACGGATCTAAAGGGAACCATCTTACCACAGTTTAATCCATCTAGAAGCATCTCTGCCCTTCCTGTGATAAGTTACTGTTTATGTAACTTGCTCTTTTGAGAAGCAGAATGATTCTGTCTACTCAGATGTATTGCAACAGATCTATCTGTATAGGATCATAGGATTTTAAGGCTAGAGGTCATGGTCTGGAGAAATTGAGGTCCTGAGCAGTAATAAGTAGTGGAGGGACAATCTGAGGCCAGGTCTTCTTACTTAAGAAATCTAGTATTTGATCCTATTCACCACAGCCAAGAAACAGAGGCCCCACGGAAAGGCCTATGAGATGCTGTACTGAGAAAAGGAAGTTATAACCTTCTTAGGATAAACTGCAATTTTTGTTCCTTGAGCACTTGCTGTTCATTAACCATTTGTGAATAACTAACTGACCTTTCAAACATAGGTCTCCCTTCCTGACCATGGCTGCTGCAACCCTAGAACCCTAAAATAGTACTTTTTGATGTAAGGGGGAAGCCCTATGGAAAAAGCTTCCTAGGATGTACAAACACTGCACTATTTAGTACCCTCAAGCTTTCACTAGGTAGCCATGGAAACAAATCAGGAGAAAGCCAAGTTTTCCCTTAGCCTATACAAGCAGCCTACTTTATTAGGTGAGGCAGCAGTATGGTCTGTGGAAAGAACACTGAATCAGATGACCTGCATTCTAATCTCATCTGTGCACCTTACTATTTAACATGACCTTGGGCAAATCATTTACTCCATCTGTGCCTCAGTAAAATTAGTGTAGAATTAGGTAATGTGAGGCAAGGATTCTTAACTTAAGGATAGATTTCAGGGGCTCCAGGAGCTTAGATAGGAAAAAAAATACAGCTTTATTTCAGTAAGGTTGGTTTCTTTTGTAATTCTATGTATTTTATTTTATACATTTAAAAACTTTATTCTGAGAGGAAGATCATAGGCTTCACTAGCCTCCCATATTAAGTCCATGACCCAGAAAAGGTTAAGAACACCTCCTTCTAGCATCTCTTATTCTAGTCTTCACCTAAGTTACCTGGTCCATTCACCTAGTCCTGTTTATACAAGTGCTACACATACAGGGTTTTGCCCAGTTAAGTCCAGTGCCTTTCCTCAACTATCTAATTAGACTTTTATCACTTGGAACTTGGGTCCCAATATTTATTAAAAAAAAAAAAATAGCTACAGAGAAAATTTGAGAAGTCATTAGCAAACAAACCTCTTAACTATGTGTGATCTATCTCATTTGTGACCTTAAAAATAAAATTCCATTTTTAATTATATCCTGTGCTGAAATATCAGTGTGTGCCACAGAATGGAAGCTTTACCTCTGTTTGGCTGTTAGCAGTAGAAAGGATCTTTAGTGCTATATTAGGTATGGCCTTGGTGAGATCTTAGACATTTCTGCCTGCTAGAAATTTCCCTGTTTGTTTTTATCTTGCAGGAATGTGATACTGTAGAAAGAATACTAGATTTGAGGAAAGAGAACCTGATTTCAAATCCAGGCTGAGTTGATTCCCTGTGTGGCCTTGGGCAAGTCCTCTCACTCCTCCAAGTCTAAGTTTCTTCATCAGGAAAATGATGTGGTTGGAGGAGATAACTTTTGATATTTCTCAAGGCTTCAAATCAGTGGCTCTCTGAGTTTCTCTGAAAGAATCGATAATAGAAATGAAATATAAAAGTTCATTTTTGTTGCAGTCCTTACTCTGTTACTCTTTCCTGTCGTGGTCTGTCTTTCTCTACAAATCACATACTGCAGATAGCTAGAGTTGCAGAGTATCCTGCAGGCATTGAACATATTTATGCATTTTTTTAATTTGGAATAGCTCTGGCAAGTAACTAAGTGAATTAGTTCTAAATGCTTTAGTAAAGCACTGGTTGATTCCAATTTAGCATGTGAACAAAAGACAGAAAGACAGCATGGTATGGTACCTGGAGTGCTGGGCTGAAATTCAGAAAGACAAGACTTCAGAACCTCTAACATATAGTAAATGTTCTGTGTCATAAGCAAGTCATTTAGCCTCTCTAAGCCTAAGCCTCCACATACTGACATATTTTCCACATCTGCAAAATGGGAATATTAATTCCTATCCCCCAGAGTAGTTGTGAGTGTCAAATGGATCATGTTTATAAAGTATTTTGCAAAGCAAAAAAATCATGGAAATATCAGTTATTATTTAGTAAACCACAATGAGACCTGCTAAATCTTGTAGATTCTATCTTGACAATATAATCTTCTGTCAGTCCCCTTCTCTCGAATCACAGAACTCACAGAACTCTAGTCTCTCATTATTTCTCCCTACTTACTTCAGAAGCATCCTTGTTAGTCTTCTTCCTCCAAAAATACCTGTCAGATTTCTTCTGACATACCTAATTCCCATCCATCCTCCACACAGCTGCCAAATTGATATTGTACTAAAGTACTGATTGGACCATGTTACTTCTGTGTCCAGGAAACTCCAAGCATTCCCAGTTGCCTGTAAGAGAAAGTACAAAGTTCTGCCCTCTGCACTATGAATTTAGCTTATTGCAGAACTACTCTTCTTCATACACTGCCTGACAACCAGACCCTTCTGAGTACTGTTCCCTGTTTGTGACATTCTCTCCCCTATTTTCATGCCTTAGGCTAGGCTGTTACCTGTGCCTGAAATGTGCCCTCTTCACCTCTGCTACTTAGAATCTTTAGCTTCATGCAAATTCAGCTCTCTCACTATGGTGTCCCTATTCTAATTGATCCCAATTTTAGATAGATAGATAGATTGATTGATTGATTGATTGATTGATTTATATACATATGTACATATATGTATACATATATACACATAATATACACCTATACATTATAATATGCCAAAAATCTTAGTGTACTTTTAAGCAACAACCCTGAGATTTTTTAAATTACCTTGTATGTCAACCACTGCCCTCTTTTTCCAAAACTGAATTGTCCTGTCTATTCAATTCAGTAAGTGTTTAGTGAATTGAATAGACAGGAGGATTCAGATTTGGGAAGAGGGAAGTGGTTGATCAATATATAGGGGTAGCTCCAAATTGTGGAAGGCTAATACGAGTTTGGATTTAAGAAAATAGATTTAGATCTGGAAGAGACCTTATAGGTATTACCCTCTAAGATGAAGAAACTGAGGCCTATAAAGTTTAAGTGACTAGACCAAGGACCTAGATATTAATTAATAGAGCTGGAATTTGGGCTGTGCCCAAAGTACTCTGTAGTCTCTGACTCTAAATTTATCATGCTTTCCAGTGTATCACACGACAGGCCCTTCAGAGCCACTATAAGTTTTGAGAAGGGGAGTAACATGTTAAACACAGTAATTTAAGAAGAGCTGGTATTGGTGAACAGAATAATCTGGAAGAATTGATACCAGGTAAATAGAATATTGCAATAATCTAGGAATGAGGTAATGAATGGACTATAACATTAGCAGTGAGATTGGATGAATAAAAGAAATATTTTGAAGTGTGCTTTGTATTTTTTGCTACATTTGTGTTCCAAGCTTTCCCCTTCCCTTTCTCCCTCTCAACCCCACACTTGAGAAGGCCAACATTTGACAGAGATATGTAGATAATAGATACCTATCTATATCTATCTATCTATCTATCTATAATATACATATATATATGTACACACATACATACATACTCTACAGTACATAGTTCCATATGTCAGTTGGAGGTGGATAGCATCTTCCTTCATAGGTCCTTTGTAGTTTGTTTAAATATTCATATAACTCAGAATAGCTTAGTCATTCACATTTACTCTGAACAATACTGCTGTTACTATATACAACATTCTCCTGGTTCTGCTTGTTTTACTCTTCATTATTTCATGCAAATCTTTCCATATTTTCCTAAAATCAACTTGCTCATCATATCTCACAGCATAGTAATATTCCATCACACTCACATACCACAACTTATTGAGCCATTTCTCAGTTGATGGCCATCCCCTCAATTTCTAGTTCCTTGCCACTACAAAGAGAACTGCTGTAAATATTTTAGAAGATACAGGTTCTTTTCTTTTTCCCCTGATCACCTTGGGAAACAGACCTAATAGTGATATTGCTGAGTCAAAGGGCATATACACAGTTTTGTAACTCTTTGGACATAATTCCAGATTGCTCTACAAAATGGTTGGATCAGTTCAGTTCCATCAGCAGTGTATTAGTATTCCAATTTTTCCATATCCCCTCCAACACTGGTCATTTTCTTCTATCTTTTTAGCCAATCTGATAGGTGTGAGGTAGTAACTCAAAGTTGTTTTAGTTTGCACTTCTCTAATCAATAATAATTTAGAGAATTTTTTCATATGACTATAAAGAACTTCGATTTCTTCCTCCAAAAACTGCATATTCATATCCTTTATCAGTTGGGGAATGGCTCATATTCTTACACATTTGACAAAGTTCCCTATATATTTAAGATATGAGTCCTTTATCTGAGAAACTGTTGGCAAAAAAATTTTTCCCATTTTTCTGCTTTCTCTCTAATCTTGGCTACTTTGGTTTTATTTATACAAAACCTTTTTAGTTTAATGTAACCAAAAATATTAATTTTATATTTCACAATGCTCTCTATCTCTATAAGCATTTAAAGATATAAATTTTCCTCTGATTATTGCTCCTGCTGTATCCAGTAAGTTTTGATATGTTATCCCATTATCATTCTCTTTAATAAAATTTATTGTTTCTATGACTTGTTCTTTAGCTCACTCATTCTTTAAGATAGGTTATTGAGGCTTCAACTAACTTTAAATCTGTTTCTATGGCCCTTTATTAAATGTAAGTTTTATTGCATCATGATCTGAAAAGGATGCATTTAATATTTCTGCTTTTCTGCACTTAATTACAAAGTTTTTATGGCCTAGTATATGGTCAGGGTTTTTGTTTGTTTTTTTTTTTTTTTTTTAACAAAGGTGCCATGTACTGCCTAGAAAAAGGTATATTCCTTTCTGTTTCCTTTCTGTTCCTCTCCTTGACTTCTTATTTTTTTGGTTAGATTTATCTAGTTCTGAGAGGGGAAGGTTGAAATCCCTCACTATTACAGTTTTGCTATCTATTTCCACCTCTAATTCATTTACCTTTTCAAATTTGAATGCTATTGCATTTGGTACGTGTATGTGTAGTATTGATATTGATATTCATTATCTATGGTACTTTGAATACAATATAGTTTTCCTGATTATCTTTTAATTAAATCTGTTTTAGCTGTAACTTTGTCTGAGATCATGATTGCTACCCCTACTTTTTTTTACATCAGCTAAAGTATAATAAATTCTACTCTAGCCCTTTATTTTTAACTCTTTGTGTGTGTCTCATTTTTTTTAATGTTTTTCTTGTAAACAACACATTGTCAGGTTCTAGTTTTTTTATCCAGTCTGTTATCCATTTCTGTTTTATGGGTGAGTTCATCCCATTCACATTCAGAATTATAATTAGTAGTTGTATATTTCCTGCCATCCTGTTTTTCCTCACTATTTATCTTTCTCCATCTCTTTTTACCCTTTTCCTCCTCAAAAATGTAATTTACTTCTGACCACTGACTCCCTAATCCACACACCCTTCTAAGAGTCCCTCCCTTATCCTGACCTATCTTCTTGCCCTCCTATTTCTCTGTAAGTTTAGAATTGTATATCTTCTAATTGTATGTTATACTTTCTTTAATCTAGTTCCAGTGAGAATAAGGTTCCCAGGCTACCTGCCCTCTACCCTGTCCTCTCCACTGTAACAATTCATTCACACCTCTTTTGATTGCAGACAGTTTAACTTTAGTAAATTCCTTATAATTAGTCTTTCTTGTTTACCTTCTTATGTTTCTTCAGATTTCTTATGTCAGATGTTTTTGTTTAGTATTTGTCTTTTCCTCAAGTTTACTTGAAAGTCCTTTAGTTCATTAAATATCTTTTATTTTTCCTCGAAGGATTACACTCAGCTTTGTTGGGTAGGTTATCCTTGGTTGCAAAACCAGTTCCTTTGCTCTTTGGAATATTATATTCCAAGGCTTTGTCTTTTAATATATAAGCTGCTAAATCTTGTATTAACCTAACTGTAATTCCATGATATTTAAATTGTTTCTTCATGGTTGCTTATAATACTTTCTGCTTTACCTGGGAGTGAAATTTAGCTATACTGTTCTTGTGAGTTTTCATTCTGGGGTCTTTTTCCGTCAGTAATCAATGGGTTTTTTCAATTTCCATTTGACCCTCTAGTTTTCTAGAACTTCAGGGCAATTTTCCTCAATAATTTCTTGAAGTACAGTGTCTAGACTTTTTTTATTATTATTATTCTTATATTATCTCTCCTCAATCTCTTTTTCAGGTCACTTTTTCTAATGAGGTGTTTCACATTGTCTTCTGTTTTTTCATTCTTTTTATTTTATTATTTCTTTATGTCTTAGGACATCATTAGCTCTCCTTTAGTCTCATTAGTTATGCTATTCTAAGTCTTAAGGAGTTATTTTCTCCAGTACGTTTTTGGGTGGCTTTTTCCAGTTAGTTGACTTTCTTTTCATAATTTACTTGCTTTTCTTGCATTACTCTTACTTCTTTTCCAAATTTTTCCTTAACTTCTCTTATTTGATTTGTAAAGTCCTTTTCTAGCTCTTCCAAGAACTCTTTTTGGGTTTGTGATCATTTTACATTTTTCTTTGAAGCTCTATAGGAAGCTGTTTTGTCTTCTACTCAAATATTTCTTGACTTGAAGGAAAAATCGGTAAAACATAGTGACTGATTGTATGGATATAGAATGTAACGGAGAAGGAAGAGTCAAAAATGACTCCACAGTTTTGAACTTGAGTAACATTGAAAATAGTGGTGTGGTTGAGACAAATAAAAAGCTGGAAGGGGAGCCAGATCTTTAAGAAATAGGTGTTTAGTTTTTGTCCTTTTGTATAAGGTGTGTCAGTCACTTCTAGTAGAAATGTCTAATAGCATTTTACTGCATCATGAAAAAAATTTGAATAATAATTATTTTTTCTCCCCTGTAGGGTATATTTAATTTTTTCAACTGTCTGCAGCCATCTCTCTAAACTGTTTAAATGAGAATGTCCCTGGCTCAGAGAGTACTGCTCACTTGGCTTTTTACATTACTCTTCTTGATCATGTTGGTGTTGAAACTGGATGAGAAAGCACCATGGAACTGGTTCCTTATATTCATACCAGTCTGGATATTCGATACTATTCTCCTTGTAATGCTGATTGTGAAGATGGCTGGACGATGTAAATCTGGTTACAACCATCGAAATGGACCACGACATATGAAAAGAAAGGTCTGGTACTTCATAGCGATGTTACTTAAGTTGGCATTCTGTCTTGCACTCTGTGCTAAACTGGAACAGTTTACTAACATGAATCTATCGTATGTTTTTATTCCTTTATGGGCCTTACTGGTTGGGGCTATGACAGAACTCGGATATAATGTCTTTTTTGCTCGAAGAGACTGACTTTTAACTATGACTTTTCAATATAGCTTGCAGAACAGCGGGGGGAAGAAAGTATTGTGGATATTTACAAACTTCAAGGCCACCAAGGAACTGAAAACCATACCAAATGCAGTTTTATACTGTTTCAGTTAGTGTTAAATCAAATAAGTTATTCAAGGACTTGAAGACAGCATGAAAAGTATTTATTCTACATTTGAATTATTAGTCTCCTTATCCCTCCTTATACTTGTAGAAATAAAACTTTGTTTTGAACCATATTTTTAAATGACTTCTTTAAAAAAACATGATATATTTCAAAGATGTAATAACCTTCGAAGATCTAATAATCAAAAACGCAAATCTCATATTGATTAACACTTATGAACCAATCCAAGCCTAATAGGACTTACTGGAAAAAAAGGAGCAATGACTTGTATATGAGTAGGCATCAGCTAAGTTACATTCTCATAATGAACAACAAAGCTTGCTTAAAACAAATGGCTTTTTTTTTTTTTTTTGCTGAATAATGGAGAAAATTCTTAGGTAAGTACAGTCAGTCTGCTTTCATGGTTTCATTAATTTAGGCAAAATCATACCGTTACCATTTAAAACTTTTAATGCAAATGACATTAAAATTTAGCTTCGTTGGTAGAAGTGATTTGATAACAGAAAGAAAGGGATTCCTTCCTAGTCACTCCCGACAGAAAGCAGGCCCTCTTGCAGAAGGGTGGGGAAAAACAGCTTTGGTACCTCCTGCCATACATACATACATTGTGGATTGTTTAAGTAATTCTTAGTAGACAATGAAAACATCTCAGAATTTTTATATTTAAGTAGGATTACTTAAGTATAGTATTATAGCTTAGATCTGTCCTTGGGTAGACATTTACAGTGCAGAGTTTTTTCCCAACGCCCTGAATTGATAATTACATGCTGAGCTTGTTGAGGCAGCTTCTGAAAAATCTGGCAAAGAAGTGCTTAAAAATTATTCTAATAATAAATATCTTTATTGTAATGACTATATTTTGAGATTTATCAGTATGTTGAAATTTTTATATGGGGTTTTTATAGAAGACTAGACTGTCACACCAATCTTCTCTTTACGTACATAGTTACTACCCTTCTTTGGGCCCTTATCTCTGTTGTGCTGTGGCAGCCACCTAATAGTGTCCCTAATTCCAGTCCTTTCCATCTCCAGCCAGCCCTACATGCAGCTTTGAAGTAATCTTCTTAAGGTACAATCTGACATGACAGTTCTCTGCTCAGAAACTTGGCTCCCTCTTGCCTCAATGGTAAAATGCAAGCTCCTTATTCCAACTTCTAAGGCCTTCCACAGTCTGAGTTCAAACTCCCTATTCAGCTTTACTTCCTGTTATATCCCTTCACATCCTTCACAATCCAGCAGAACATTTCGAATGGCTGTTCCTCACCTTGAGAGGAGGCAGGATGTTGGACTAACAGGTATTCACAACATTTCATGACAGCATTATCTTCAGCATCCTGGTAAAAAGAAGAGTCAGTGGACTAGGATTCAAGCCCAGCCTGTGTGACCTGACAAGTCATTGAACTTTTCTGGGCCTTAGTTTCCTCATCTATAATTAAGGGGCTCACAGCAGCTAGAACTCTCGAGTTCTGTTCCAGCATAGAGTCTGTGATTTAAGTGATCTCTGTCCCTGTGCATTCAGCCAAACCATCCCATGTGCTTGAAATGCACTCCTCTTTCTCGTCTGTGCCTCTCAGAATCCTTCTCTCCCTCGAAGATTCAGCTCAGGTGCCACTTCTGTGAAACATTACCTGACCTTTGCCAGATGTTAGTGGTTTTTCCTTCCTCAAATTGCATTGTATTTGCTTCTCTGTTTACACTGTTATTGTACCCTGACTTCCTTAGAATGTGAACACCTCCAGGACGGGAGTTATGTCTTTTTGTTTTAGTCTTTGCATCCTCAGTGCCTTGTATATGGTAAATGCTTAATAAATGTTTGTTTAAATTGAAATGACTAAGATTTCAGATCTAAAGAACCTACTTAGACCTCTAGCTTTTTGAATTTTTTAATATAATGCAGAAACAGAACTGGAGCTAAGTAACTTGCTGTTTGAATCCAATTAACTGCCTTCATATTTGGGGATGAAATTAAGTATAATAGTAAATATTGATCACAGACTGTGTTCTAAACCTGAGCAAATAAACCCTTAAATGACTGAAGCAATCCAAACCAATTTCAAATACTTCAACAAAAGGTAATAGGAGCTTCAGCTAAATAAAATAAACCAGAATTTGAAATGCAAACAGTCATACTTTCCAGTAAGAAAAAAAGAAGTATATCTCTTAACCCAGACTTACCTTGAACATGTATATTCACTAAGACTCACTCAACTCAGCCAAAAACAGAACCAGGAGAAAAAAAAAAAAAGGCAGAGATTCTGCAAAAATCCGTAAGTAAAAAAGGAGAGTTCTACAGCTTAGGTGACAGAGTTGTTAGATTGTTGAACCTCAAGTTAGGAAGACTTGAGTTAAAATCTGGCCTCAGATACTTATTAGCTGTGTGACCCTTGAACTGTTTGCCTCAGTTTCTTCATCTGTAAAATGAGGATAAAAATAGCACCTACCTCCCTAGGGCTGTTGTAAGGCTCAAATGAGATAATAATAGTACAGTAGTTTGTAAACAAAATGTTTTATTATTATCATCATTATTATTTTTATTATTCTACCCAGCCAATGCCAATTCCCAGGATGGAATAAAAGGGCCAGATCTCTTAAATAAGAAGCAGTACACTGCTTTACCTCTTTAAAATAAGTCACATTATAAATATAAAGGCATTTTGGAGAATTAAGAATTTCTAAAAATCCTTGCAATCATTTTGGGACAAAGGCTTTATAATAGCATGCAAGTGATTGTACATGAGTTATTTAATAAACATTTGAAATAACACGAGTCCAGTTGTTATTAATGGGAATTTCTCAGTCACTAAAACATATCTTTTTAAAGTAAGAGAGATAATCATTATAGGAACCTTTCGCCAAAGAGAGAACTGATCATTGTTGCTCTGTGGTCTAAATAAGCTTTAAGTGACGTGACTTGCATGTGCTTTTAAGTTATAGTTTTAAAATTTTCAAATCAACACAAACCATCTGTGAACTTAAAAAAACCCCAATAACAATTCAATGTAATTGTTTTCCATTGTAATGCTATGTATTTTATTCATTAAAAAAAAAATTATTCTGAGTGTATGTCCATCCCATTCTCCAGACTGCCAAAGGAGTCCACAACACAACCTCTGCTTTGAATTGGGAATCTAGGTTCAGATTCTGTCTCTGCTACTTAATTGCTGTGTGACCTTGGGTGATTGACCCAACCTCCTTGTGCCTGAGTTTCCTGATCTGTAAAGCAAGATAGAAATCTCCCTCCTTTTACAAACCTATGGTCCCATAAGGCCCTAAAATTATAATCACCAAAATACTTATTTTCTTATGAAAAGGTAACTATTTTTTCTAATCAGACATACACTGATAGTTTGCAAACCTTTTTGTTTTACCTTTTTAATGCCGCATACTTCCTTTGTTTGATATTAGATATTTAGGAACAATAAAGTGATTGAACAGCAAACTAAAACAGCAAAGCCTAGATTGTAAATTAAGTCATTAAATTTCTATGTCAACACACAGGCACATCACTGAGTCTGTGTATCTCTTTTGTCATCAAAAAATTGAATCAAAAGCAGCTTTGACCAAAACAATTCTGTAGGATTTTTAAAACATAGAAGTTACTAAATGTAAATATTTCCTAGTGATTCATGAAATTCACCAAATCATATATATGCCTTGCCGTTCCAAAGATTAGTCAGCTTCAACTGTCTGGGACCCAGGCATGAAAGAAGTTCTAAGACTATCACAAAATCCTTATACTTTGCCTCCGTGTAGAATAATGACGTTACCCCCAGACCAGAGCATATTCAGAATATGAATTATGTGTTATGTGAATTATGTATTAAAGTTATCTGATCACCTCTGATCCTGATTATCTAGTTTCCCCTTCAGTTCTTCCCAGGATATATTAATACTGTCGTAGGAGAGCGGCTGTTGGCTCTTTCAAGAAGAGACAGAAGCATCAATAATCTAGCCCACTTAAGATTGGGACAAGCATACCTCAGAATGAACGTAATTAAATTATGTTCACTATAGGGAAAGGAACTGGGCCTATGATTTTTCTAGTATAGGGAACTAAAGTAGACCTGTGATTTCACAGAAATAGGGATCTCCCAGATGAAGAAACTCCTATCAGTACAGGTTGGGAAACTGAGCTTTAGTCTTAGACAGTTGTTAGAGTACTGAGAGGTTAAGTGATTTAACCAGTCACACAATCCTTATTTTTTGTTCAAAGAAAGTTGAACATTGTGGTGGTGGGTGGGAAGCTCTGCTAGAAGGAAAAGAGCTAAAAGACTGGAAATAAATTTCATAAGAAATCCCACATCTTGCAAAGAAATATTTTTCAAGGGGGAAAATTTCTTAAAAGAAAAAGTTGATTACTCTTGCCCTTAATTTCCAAATGGAATAGCCTTTTTCACAGTCCTCATCCTTCTTGATCTCTCCACATAATTGAAAGCATCTTGGATTTATTTTAAAGTATATTTCAATGTATAAGTTTGCATACATAAGCTTAAACAAATATATTTGAAGAATGAGCAAGAATCTAAACAATTCAGTGTCTGTGAACCCAGGTCTTCCTGGCTTTAAGACCAGATTATATATCCATGGTTGCTCTCATATTCAGTATTCTACAGTTCATATAGGAGAGTGTATATTTTAGAAAGATTTTTATCAAAAATGGTTTTCAAAAAGACCAGTGCTTAGGATTCCATATCTGAAGCCCAGAAGGCTATCCAGTCAATCCTCTTATGGATGAGGAGACAAAGGCCCTTAAGATAGAAAATAAACTGTGACCTTAAAAATAGAAATGTAACCCCACTGGTCAGTTTCCTCATTTGTAAAGTAAGGTCATGCCTACCTTGCAATGTTAAGTGACTTGCCTTAGATTACAGTGAGGATTTGAACCCAGGTCCCATGACTAAAGAACCTTAAATTCTGGAACAGAGGTGTCAAACAAACCGGCATGGCCCAACAGTCCCAAGTGCTGCCCAAACCAGATTAAAATTAACTCTGAAATATTTAACAAAATAAAGATACAATAAAACAAATAATGTTAATATATAGTTTTTTAAGTCAATATGCGCCCACAGGGATCCTTTTGTACAGCTTATTGGCTCCATTTGTCTTTGAGTTTGACACCACCGATCTAGAAAATCCAGTATCATCAAGGAATCAGTTAAACTGTTACTAAGCACCTATGTGAACAGTCACAGTGCCAGGGAAAAGACAACAGAAAAGACCAAAAAGGAAATGATCCCTATTCTTCAAGAGCTTACTTTCTAACATAAGGAATGAAATGTTCTAGAAGCACCGTGATACATGTAGTAGAAAGGGCCCTAGGATAGAAATGAGAATACCTAAATCCTTGTCCTAGCTCTACTAGCTGTGTGACACTAAAAGAGATATTTAACCTTTCTGAACCTCAGTTTCCTCATTTATAAAGTAAGGTAAGGGGTTATCTATTAACACCAAGGTACCTGCCCTAGTACCTACTACTCCTTTCACTACCACTGTTTTGTTGTTCGGTCATTTCAGTTGTGTCTGACTTTTTGTGACCATATTTCAGGTTTTCATAGCCAAGATACTGGACTGGTTTGACATTTCCTTCTCCAGCTTATTTTACAGATGAGGAAACTGAGACAAACAGGGTTAAATATCCACAGTCACACAGCTAGTAAGTGCCTAAGGCCAGATTTGAACTCAGGAAGAGGAATCTTCCTGACTCCAGGCCAGGCATTCTATCCTTCATGCAAAGCACTGTGGTCATGGAGAAATGAAACTATACCATCTAGCTCTCAAAGAACAGATTTGAAAGCATTTGGTTCTGAAACTGTATGGACTTTGCATCTTCTCTGCCCCGTATCACTAAAACAGGATTACCCATCAAGAGCTCCGGGATGGGGCATGGAAGCTTGAACATACTGCTACACGTGGAGACAGTACCTACTCCCCCGTACTTGTTTCCAACCATTGGAGATAAGCTACAATGCTTCCACCTTCCATAATTATGTTTCAGCAATAGGAACCAACTGGGAACCTCACCTAGGAGTAGGGAAGGCTACAGACACTAGGCCTAACCAGGAGCCAAGTACACGTTTCCCCTCTGGGAGTATCTTTAGACTATTCATCACCTGCTATCTTAATGAGACCAAGGAACTGTCAGGGAATGTGAGTTTAGTCAGGCCCCTGGGGACTAATCACCAGATATCTACTGACCCAGATACCTGACCTAATCTCTTCCTTGTTTCCTGGTGCTTGAGAGAGAAAATAATAATAATTAATGCCTCCCTTGAGGGTGGGAGAACCAGTCAAATAGTACATCCCCATCCTATAACTAGTAAATTCCTACCTCTTCTACAACCTGTGATTCAGAATTCACTATGTGAAAACTCTTGCCCCTGTTTCCACACCCTCTAAAGGTGGCAGCTAGGTGGAACAGTGGATGGAGCATGGGATTTGAAGTCAAGAAGAACTGAGTACAAATTTGATCTCAACCAATTATTGGGTACCACTTAACAGTCTGACTAAGCCACTTCACCTCTATCTGCCTCATTTCCCCATCTGTAAAATGAGAATAACACTTAAGGGTTGCAGTGAGGATTGAATGAGATATCTGTAAAGCACTTTGCAAAGTTTAAAGTGTTATATAAATGCTATTGTTATTATTAAAGGAAATATCAGAGGCCCAAATGTGGTGTCAATGGTAGGTTTACACACTGACATCTTCAACAAATTCTTCATCCTCATCCTGGTCCAAGCTCCTGACCTCACTTTCTACACAAATTCTAAATATGATCCAGTAACATTAAGGTCCTCAATAACTCACATCTGGATTTTTCATGGCCTTTGATTGGTGTCCTTCCAGGCTCTCCCCTCTTTAATCTTTCTACTGCATAACTACAAAATAATTTTCCTAAATCACAAATCTACACATGTCATTCTTCTCAAGGATCTTCAATGGCTCCCTATTGCCAGTAGAATAAAAATAAAAATTCCTCACCTTGTCATTTAGAGTACACAATCAGGATCTAGCCTACCATCCCAGGCTTATTTAAGGTTACTCTTCTGTACACACTCTATTCCAGCCAAATAGGCCTACTTATGGTTCCCAGGCCTTAACATAACTCCTATTTCAGTGCCTTTGCTCTGGCTGTCTTCCCATGCCCGAAGGAATATACCCTTTCATTTTTGTTTCTTCGAATTTGTAGTTTCCCTCAAGGTTTAGCTCAGGTGATGCTGCCTATAGGAAACTTCCTGATTTCTCCCGTTTCCAGTTGAGTGCTCT